AAAGTTAGACAGGATGTTTAATTCTGACTCTGCCTCATTTTTATGATAAGTGATATGATTAGTTTAATATGTTTTTCAAGCTTGAGGACTAGCAATCAAGTACTAGATGTTATTTCCTACCCAAGTTCAGAGCTATTTTGAAATCAGTGAATTACTGTCATTTATGAACTTCTAATTCAGCTCATTTAATTAAACTCATTATGTTGCAGTTGACATGAAATGGCCTTCTATCATATTTTAAAAGGTGCAATTTCTTAAAAATTATTAAAAGAATCCTTCAGCCATTTCAGCAGAATCCCATCAAGAACCCAAATGATATTTTTATCAGGTCCTTTCAGCCATCTCTGTCAATTTCTTATTCATTTAGGTGTTTGCAGTAGGTAGTGGTAGGTAGGTTTGTAGTTACTTTTTGTTTTCCAGCTCAAAATGGTTGTAAATCAAAATTGCATTTAATATGTGCCTGCAAAAGCAAGGAAACCTAAGGTGGGATGGATTGGTCTTTCTTGGACTCTTGATATGAGTTTTTAGCAGCTTTCCCCTTAATCAGTACTACTTCTGAGGAGAGCATCTTTGGTAAACACTGCCACCAGCTAATTTTTCTCAATGAAATCCTCACTAATACCAAGTTACTAAGTAAAATGTCTATGGAGAGTCTCAGTCATCCAGGTCATGGTTGTCCAAAAGGTGCTTTTTCAAGAGGCAACCAGATTTATAATCCTTGCAGAAGCTGACCATTTGCATTCTTTTAGAGAGTCGTTGAAGCCACATGAAGGTTTATCTGTATTCGCATGGTCACCTGGGTGACCATGGGTGTGAAGCCTTCTTGGAACTGCAGAAAGGACTGTGTTGTAGACTGGAGATAGGTGATGTTGCATCCCTGTCCCTCTGTTGAGAGAGGGCTGTGCAGTACACATTAATGAAGACAAAAGCCTTAACACTGAAGTTTACAGAAAAAATCCCCACACAGATCAATATTTACATTTTGATTCTTACCACCCACTGGAGCACAAAATGGGAGTTATCAGAACCCTAGACCATTGAGCTGAATGCCTGCCTACCAGCAAAGATGGGAAAGAAAAAGAACTAAAATACATCAAGAAAATTGTCAGAACATGTGGCTATCCCAAGTGGCCTTTATCAAATGCCCCAAAAGACACAGCAGGAGCTCCTCCAAATAGACAAAGAAGAGAACAATAAAGAGAACAATAAACAAAGCAATGTTGTCATTCTATACATTGTAGGAATATCTGAAAAGCTCAGGAGGATTTTCAGCCAACACAACATACTTTAAATTACACAAAGGCAGAAGCTTGTCTACCCCAGGGATAAAACTCCCAGACACAAATTGAGCAACATGGTATATTCAGTACAATGCAGTGAACCCTGTGCAGATCTGTACATTGGAGAAACAAAACAACAATTTCAGAAATGCATGGCACAACATATTGTAGGAGAACAAACCCAACAGGACAAGATTCATTAGTCCATCTGCATTTAAAAGACGAAGTCCACTCTTTTGAAGACAGCAAAATCCACGTTTTGAACAGAGAGAACCATTGATTTGAAAGAAGGGTCAAAGAGGCCATCTATGTCAAAACTGAATAGCCCTCTCTCAACAGAGGAGGAGTGATATGATATCATCTATCTCCAGTCTACAACACAGTCCTTTCAACAGTTCCAAGAAGGCTCCACACCTATTTGCACTATTCAAGTGACCCTGACAACACAGATAAACCTCCAGGTGACCTCAATGACTCTAAAATAATGCTAATGCAAGGATTATAAATCCTTCCATTTCCCACCATCCAGTCAGAGCTGAAGAAGCTTCATGGAGGAGAAGTGAAGTGAAGTCCACTTGCCTCTTGAAAAAGCACATTTGGGACAAGTTGCTAAGTATTTGAAGTGACATGGTAGAAATGGTCTTCTCCTGGATTTCTTCCTTTTTTAGCCTAACTGTATGGAGAGATGTATGTGCTAAGGTAACAATCCTTTCAGAATGAAACTCACTGATTCAATTAAAATTCAAAGTCTTTATTGTGTATATGAAAATCAAAGAACTAAAGTGGAATTGAAAAAAAAAGTGAGAAAAGGGAGAGAAAGAGAAAGTAATGATGCTTTCAAAATAGATTGTCTCAGCCATTGCTCCTTCAGCCAGGAATATGAATGCATCTACACCAGGGATGTCAAACTCACATTGTCATGATGGTGTCACGTGTCGTATTAGGACTTTTTTCCTCTTTGCTAAACCAGACGTGGGCGTGGCCAGCCCATGAGGCATCTGGACCACTGGCCAGAAGTTTGATAGCCCTGATCTACAAAGAACAAAGTAGAGCAAAAGCACCACAACTGAAATATTCTTTCTATAAAATAGAGACTGAATTCTCATCAGCATCTAGCTCCACTATTTTGTAGTGATAGAATTTTTCCTGGATCTTAACCCATCCTGTGGATTGTGGCACTGCTTACCCTTGAGCCAGTTTGGGAAGAGATACATGAAAGGAATCAAATAAGCAGAGACTGTAGGTCTGCTTCTCCCTCTTTTGGATTGTCTCTTTCATGTTTGATTTTTATGAGTTTTGAATATTTTTGCCCATTTAACCAGGCTAACAGAGATCAGGTATTCTTTTAATCCTTTCAGAGCCTGAACTTCTTCGAATGGGAATCCTCTCATTAATTGTATTTACACACTTTACAGGAAAAATGAGTTTTCTAGGAGCCTAAAAACAAGTTCAGGGATAGTATGCATCTATGAGGTTGTAAGTTGCCCACTTGTATGTATATTAGTACAACATAAATCCCTGGCACAAGATCCTTGGAGCTGTTTTATTGGAAACACAGCTGCATTAATGTTGTGCATTACCAGTACATGTAGAATTCTTGAATGCAAAGAAAAATACAGCCAAAAACAGCATAAGTATGTGCAAAGCTAACACTTGAAATTGCATTAAAGTTTGCCAGATTTGGATAAAGGGATCACTTTAGTGAACTAGTGCCACTTCAGTTTTGTGGGTGTTAATTTTCAAAATTGGTACTGGAAATCAAATACCTTCCACATCTAACTCTTCACAAAACAAAACAAACCCCAAAGGTTTGTAAATGTGTTGTATATTGGAAACTGTATTGCTTCATTTCTTATTTGAGGAATGATGCTAGACTTCTTACTTAGATTAATAAGGTTATTATAAATAAGAAAAAATATTGTCTGTCTGCAAGAGAAATCATCATATTTGGATTCATCTATTTGTTAACTTTTAGAAGGAAATACTTGGTCATTTGGAGGCCTTAGAAGTGTTTCCCCCCTATATTTGTATTCTGTTGATTTTTTTTAACCCATTAAATTAGTAACTCAAGAATAGATAAGACCATCAGTAGGATCAAGAAGTATCTGTTTATCTGACTTGTACTGTTTTAGATTGTAGGCAAAGGACTGCAGTCTGAATTCTCTCTTATAAAATATTCTTCTGACAATTAGAAAGCATTTTTTAAAAGCAAGATTCCACCTAACTGAGATATATTCAAGAATGGAGTCAGCAGCCTAAAGGTGTCTTCCTCTGATTTTTTAAAGAGGAGTCTTGGTTCTTTCTGTTAGAAATGTGCTCTAGCTCAGTCTCCCTCTCCATTATTCACCCCTGATTAGTCTGTATCTTACAATGGCATCATAGTCTCCCTCTACTCAGCTGTCTTTTTTTTGTTGTTGTTGTTGCATAATTGGTTTTTCTTTGTGGAGAATGTAATTGCTTGTGTTTGTAGCATAAGTTGTAATTATCATTCTCAGAACAGAATAATGATTATTTTGAGATTTTTTTCTATCTGGATATTTAGCATCTTGTCCTAATTCTTGAAACACAGTGAGATATAAATCAATTCCAATTTAAGTGGTTAAGCTTTTATTTTTATCAGCTCACAATGCTATTTGCAGCTTTGATGACACAGAAGTTATCAGAGGAACTTATGAAACATTCATCTTTGCTTCTACATCTTTATATTATTTGGTTGTATTATTCCAAATTGCTTCAAGTTTTCAGCTTTGATGTAAATAAGAAGGTTCTAAAGACAACATGCAATTCTGTTTTTGAAAAGCCTGTGAAGTTTTTTGTTTGTTCTGTTCAGAAGTTATCTAATGAAGTGGAACAGTGAGACATTCAGCATGGATAAAAGGAAGTGCATCCTTAATCCTTGAAATCAGATGGTACAAGTTATAAGGATGGATCTTAACTTAAGCAGTTCAAAAAGAGTTAGAGAATCATCTGTCTCTGAATACTAATTGCTGGATGATATGAGCAGGAGAAAAGTCTTGTACTCATTACATGTTTATGGGCTTTTCACAGATATCTGCCTAGCTTTTCTAAAGATGGAGGGATTGCTAAGAGGATTGTTCTGATCTTGTACAAATTTTTATACCTTCTAAAAGATAATGAAGATATAAAATGAGTAATCTTTAATCTGATAATGAGGGAGCAAGGAATGTACAATTAACCATAGTGACATTCTAGCCACATTGGAAGCATATTTCACATCCCAGCTATATTGTGACTCAGTGATCTTTTCTGCATCTATGCATTTTTTTTACTTGCAGTTGATAGATATGGAAGTCATGAACTGACTCCTGCCTTGGCTATGTGCCCTGTGTAGAAATTATATGATGGATAAAAGGAAGAATCAGTCTCCAGTACTGTTAACAGAATAACAGAGTTGGAAGGGACCTTGGAGTTCCTTTAGTCCAACCCCCTGCTCAAGCAGGACATCCTATACCATCCCAGACAAGTGGTTGTCCAGGCTCTTCTTAAAAGTCTCTAGTGATGGAGCAACATCTGAAGACAAGGCATTCTACTCGTTAATTGTTCTCACTGTTAGGAAATTTCTCCTTAGCTCTAGGTTGCTTCTCTCCTTGAGAAGTTTCCATCCATTGGTTTGATCCATTGGTTTGTTGTTTCATTGCCTTAGATGTATTTTTAAGTTAAAAAAAAATGTTCTTAATGTCTCTCTCTCCATTTTTATAGGGGGTATTTTTGAATGTGTGGAATCTGGTCCAACTGGAGCAATGGGAGCAGAAGAATTGGCCTTCCGATTTGCTGTGAACACAATCAACCGAAACAGAACTCTGCTGCCAAATACTACACTAACATATGACACTCAGAAAATTAATCTCTACGATAGTTTTGAAGCATCTAAAAAAGGTATGCTTTAGAAAGTCTTGGTTGCTAGATGCCTGAGCAATCTAAATGTTTAATAGAATAAAGAGGCAAGCAAAATCAGAAAATCCAGAAATCTGTTTAATGAGAATTCACACTAGGCCAGTGTAACTAAAATAAATGTCAATGAAGTGCCACATGTGTTACAGTTTCTACTGCACAATGGTGGTGCAAAATGCTAAGCAAGCATTATTCATTCATTTTTAATAACAATTGATAGATGGCCTGTCGAAGTTCAAGCGGTAAAAGGAGATGAGAAAAATGAACTTTTCTGATTCAGAAAAGTTTGTTCAGTCATCTTAATCTGTCTGACCCTTAAAATAAGCTGGAACAGTCCCTTTTGGGTAGATCAAAGTGCACAGTATATGAATGGGAAAAAATCGTGTTTCTGATGCAGCATTTAATAAGTGAAATTTCCTGCATCCTAAACTTCAGATCTGAACATTTTCTGCATTTAATTCTATTGCTGTTTAAATATACTGCTCTGCACTACAAGAGTAAGGACCTTGAAGTCCTTCACAGAATACTGACTGACACTTCTAGAAAGCCCAGTCAACATGATCAGTAGTGATTGATATCCAGGATTGTAACTTGCAAAATCTAAAGGTCCACACATTCCCTTCAAAGCAAATTTCAGGGGGGAAAAAATCTCCATGAGATAGATATCACTGATATGCTGTATGACTTTTAAAAATTCCCTTCTTTAATCCTATTTATTCGTCTGTTATCATTCTGAGTAATGAACTCAGGGAATCAGAACTCTGACACTTTTTGCAAGTTCAAGAGATCCTTTATTGAGTACATCATATCGGCACTTAGAAAGTTGAAGCTCTAAATTATTCCTGTGCTCAAGGATAGTTAAAGAATAAGACCTCATCCCTCCTTTGTTTCTCAGGTCACATGGGCCAATCAGTCCAGGTGTAGGTTCCTGCTCAACTTTGACAACTGTCCTTTGAAATGACCTTGTTCACACGTGGGCTGGGAGATGTTATGGCTAGCCGGCTGAGGCCCCACATTCCTGGGTAAAAAGAGTTTAAACATTAGCCCTTATTCTTTGTATAATGTGAATTGTATTTCTCTTTTTTTCAGCTTGTGACCAGCTCTCATTGGGAGTAGCAGCTATCTTTGGCCCTTCCCATAGCTCTTCAGCAAACGCAGTGCAATCCATCTGCAATGCACTGGGGGTTCCACATATACAGACCCGCTGGAAGCATCAGGTTTCAGACAACAAAGACTCATTTTATGTCAGCCTTTATCCAGATTTTTCTTCACTCAGTCGTGCCATCCTTGACCTTGTGCAATTCTTCAAGTGGAAAACTGTCACAGTGGTTTATGATGACAGCACAGGTAAACAGAACTCTGGTACTTACGTTTGCAGATGCTCTTAATACAATATGTATAACCCTTTAACTAACCTAAGAATTACAGCTTAGTGCACATGTTCAGTTTGCCTGAAAATACAGTGAAATGCTGCAAGCTATAACATTAAAAGATTTTACACATATTCCTCCTGCACAGAAAGCTATCAATAAGTGTGCTATTCTGTATATTTAATCTGCATCCAGAGAGAAAAGGACAGAGATTTTTTCACCATAAACGTGTTTATCTAGGCATCTTAACTGAAGAAAAACATATGAAAATTTCATGAGAGCTATCTTTTGCTATTTCAGCTGAAAAACAAATCAGAGAGAATTTGTGGTACAGTAGTATCTCTTTTATAAAACACCCTGTGAACCCAATTGTTTACATTTTATGGAAAGATTTATCATTTTAAACCTGCAATTTGTTTTTATAAAGGGTATAAGCAAACAGGTTCTGACATGCTTATCCATTGTATTGGGAGTGGGGATCAGACAGGGAATTTCAAAATATTCAGTCACAAAAGTAGTTCCAACATGGATACACACTTTTCCATTGGCTATGTATTGCCATTGACATAACTCTCTGTGTTAAATACAAATGTAAATAGACAACTATCTCTGACCATGGAAACCAAGATTCACCCATGGAGTAATGTTTGGCATGAAAAAGATCTCAAGTTCACACTGGAGATACCAAGTTGAGTTCTTAGCATATCTATGTATGAAAAAGAGTCTGGCTATGAATTAGAAGAAAAGGACTACTTTAAAGAAAAATAAGAAAGTCCAGTTGCATCTTGAAAAAAAGCACATTTGGGACACAGGACCACTCCGTTTAATCATTTGCTTTTGGGGATTCTTTCTATTGTAGTAAATGTTCATATAATAAGGACAGACATATATTCAGGAGTTGGACAAATGATTAAGTGTGCATTGTAACACAAACACCATATCTTTGGCTTATGTGTAAAATATTACGCTACGGGTTTGAAAGAATGGAGTTTGTATTGCGTTAACCTTGTGAGGTAGTCCAGGCAAGAAGCACAATTAGGAACACTAGCTCTACTTCTATCATATGGCTATATTAAAAAATATCTGGCAAGTCTGAAAGTAATCCCTCTCGTCCCTCTGCTTTTAGAATTTTTTAAAAAATCCTCCTTTAAATTCAACATTTTGTTTATCAGACCGCTATCTAGACTCTTCTTCCTGACTCCCAGTCTTTCCCATTGTGATGTCACAATGCATGTTTCATTGTAGCCTTTTAGGTAGTTAGGAATAGAAGCCTATGCATTCGTGCTGTCATAGGAGAAAGTGTGGATATCATAGAAACTTTAAGTAACCGATCTTCTAAAAGTAAGTTTGTTTCTGTTTACTTATATGCCAACTTTTCTTCTGAACGTTACTTAAATATATTGTGTATAATTACAAGTAGTTACTATATGCCAGGGATTATTACATCTGCAGGAATTGCTTGGTTAGTTGGCAGGAAGTTTGTACTTTCAGACTTGCAAGATTATGTTAATGTAGCATGAATGAAGGCAAAAATACGCATCCCAGGATAATGTTGCAGTTCCAGTCTGTGTTGGTCACCAGGACCAGAGATTTAGTCTTCCAAGTTTTTGGATTCATGCTGGAGCCCATCCTCAGGGAACTTTTCTCTTGCAGAATTTGTACATTCTGCTAGAGAGAAGTTCCCTGAGGATGGGCTCCAGCATGAGTCCAAAAGCTTAGCAGACTAAATGTCTGGTCCTGGTGACTGACCTGGATTGGATCTTGTTAATGTAACCTTTTACAATAAAATAGATTTAACCCATTTAATTGTGTTTCCTATCTGATTTACCTGGGATGGCTGAAACATATCAAGACTGACTGGTGGAATTATTGGACCTACTGGTTCTGGGAACTTAATCATATTTGGTTCTGAAGGAAGAAGCACTACCCCATTTGGGATTAGTGCACAATCTGGGAGTTTATCTCATCTCTCATCTCCTGGTTAAGGAACAGATTTCTAGAAATACAACTTGTGTATCAATTATGCCCATTTTTTGACTGACAGGTCCTATTTATGGTCATGCAAGTGAACAATTGTAACATATTCAACATGGGCTGCTCTTGAAGATTACCAAGAAACTGCAACTGGTCCAGAATTAAATGGCATGAGCAGTGATGGACAGATCTTACAATGCCTATATAATATATTTGCTTTCTGAGTTGTGCTGATTGCCAGTACATTTCCAAATAAAATTCAAGAAGTTGGTTATTACCTATAAATCCCTACATGGCATAGGGACTAATCTGAGGGACTATATGTTTTCCACACTATCTGTTTATTTGTCAGCTTTGGAAACCTTATTCAATGCTGCCACATAGCTTGAGAAAGTGGGAGGGGGGTGATTTTAATTGAGTAGCTCTTAGTAGACACAATAGAATTATTTTGCTAGTTCAAGATTATAGAGTGTGGCTCAGGAACAAAAAGGAACTTACTTTAGGATTGGTTCATGTGATGTGATGATGAGGGAAAAGGGGATGGTTTGTAGTTTGGGACATTGTAGGAAGTCCAGGAAACTTTTAGTTTCGAGATGCCACAGATGTCCCAGGTGCTATTCTAATAAAGTTACTTTTGATATGATGCCTGTCTCGGAGTTACTGATTGGAATGGAGGTTCCCTGGAACGCTGACATTATTCTGTACAAAGCAGGATGGTTTGCTTTAGATCAGGTCTGTAAAACTCCTGGCCCGCAGACTGGATGCACTGGCCATGGCCAAGCCCAGTTTAGTGAAGGGGAAAAAAGTCCTGATACGTCACATGATGCCATCCTGATGACATGAGTTTGATACCCCTGCTTTAGATTTTATCAATTAAACAACATAATTTAATATATATTAGATCTGGACCCTGTGTGTTGTGGCACCTGCCCTGTGGAACAGCAGCCCCTACAAACTCATTTGACTGAACTTCAAGTGTACCTTGAAAGTGGGTTTACCTTGTGTCCTTGGATTAATGTATCTGGAGATCTTTTCTAGGTTGAGGGTGATGTAAGAAAGTAACTCATATCATTGATGTTATAATTTTTGGAACATTTCTGGATAATACATACATGCATAAGTACACACACAGAGACAAATGTGCACACACATACATGTATAAATTCACCCACATGCACAGATAGTGATTTTTTTTGGGAAGACTCCTCTGGCCAAATCTTCAGTTGTTTAATCTGTAAAGCTTACACATCATATCTTATATTAACATTGTAGTATAAATGCTTCAGAAGAAACAGATTATTATGAACAATTGATAGATCTGAGCAGAGCACAAACTTGCACAGTTAAAAACTGCTCTGTAGTCTGAGGTGCAATATAAATAATTAATACTATTAAATAGTCTGATTTATGAGCATTTTTTATTTCATGTTAACCACATAAGCACCTGTTACGGGAGCAATAAACTATGGTTATAACAAAGGGTCTTTATCTGTTGTGCTATTTTATTTTTAATGAGTGTCTTGACTAACACACTATTCATCAAGTCTCTGAAAATGAGATCTTACTATCAGGGGGAACTGGCGGTATCAGTGATGTGCATAAGATCTGAAGATATATTTCAAGAATATTGGCTCTGCAGACAAGGAAAAGTGTATGGTATTTTATGCATCAACAGGAGGGAGAAAAGGAGAGAGAGAGACTTTACAAGAATGACTGGATAGTAATAATTGTGTGTGTATTTAATTATAATTTAATTATAAACAAAATGAATTCAGATTTAGTTTTCCTCTGTAACAACTTAAAGACCAAGGCCAGACTTTAGCCAAGAAACAGTTGCATCCTTCTGCTATAAATGGATCACAATTAATTTATCATGATTTACCCAAAGTAAAGAGGTACATATTTTTTAAGGAGCCTGCTTAATTAATTAAATTGAAGCATTTACTCATATATGTTATGACAGGGAAAGAAAACAAACCGATCTCATATATGTACAGTAGTTAGCTTCAGAATCTGAAAAATGAATTATTAAAGTTAAAATATTGAAATTATCCTTAGTGGAATTGTGCAGTCTGAAATTAGTTTTTAATTTTCTTTTTTTACATCTAGTTTTGTGCATGGTATTACAGATTTATTTTTAGATGAAACAGTGATATGCATTTATATGCACATGTGCACACATAAACACCAGATATATGCAGCAACTTTAAATCTATATGTATTAACACTAACGTCTCACATTTCAAATGTTTTATCAAAGTATAAGTGCATGTAAATCAAGATGCAAATGAATAGAAGAAATAATATTGCTTTGGCATGTCAATTTTAAAAATCCTTGAAGTGTAGCCTAAATAGGAATGGATTTAACTGTCTAATTCCAGCCCAAATCAGTTTTGTACTTGGCCATTAATATGTGTTCATGTTATTTCAACATGAGTCTGTACTGTTATGAAAACATTAACTTTGAGTGTTAATTTTTTTATAAAATATGCTTTCTATACTCCTTTAAAAACATATTTTTGTACATGTTTTTCACCAATTTTGCATTTTATCTATATTTTATTCTCAAATCCATCTTATTATTAGATACATTTCAGTACATCATCTGATTAGAGAACTGTACTTAAAAATTGGACTGAGGTGACTTCCAGGAAATCATTGGTGAAGGAAAGATGGTTCTCCTGAGAATGGAGCTAATGAGTGCTATGGAATGAGATGCCAGTGAATGAATCAGCTTCTCAGAATTCCTCTCCATATAAGGAGAATAATTGGATTGCTTACAAGTGCTCAAAAAAGCTGTTTTCTGGGAGGAGACCATAAGACAATGTTCTCTAGTGCAGGGATCACCAACCTGTTGGACCTTGGGGACCACCAACCTCATAATTTTAAATCCCGTGGACCAGAGACCCTGGGAAAATCCCCAAAAAAGTCTGCATGAAAATTCCCCACTCCGTTTTCCTATAGATCGGCCATTCTTTATTTGGGATCACAGGATATCTCCAG